CATGGGTGCCAACAGTACCAACTTAGGACGTCTACCAATTTCGAGAATGTGAACCTTGTGATACCAGTTCGATAGACCTTTCATGTTCTCCTCTGGGCTAGAAAGCCAGAAGGCCCTGCGCGGGTCAACACTTAATGAGCTCTGGCGAGTCCCATAGATCCAACGCCCAAGTCCACCAAAAAAAAGGCGATCATTGTACCATCCCAAAGGGATATCGGTAAAGGTGATATTACTAGCAAGCTCATCAGCTTTACAATTTTCCTATGAATACATTGTGGCCAGGAACTCTGACAAATTAAATATGATAGTGAGGTCATAACATCCGTGACTAGCTTCGAGCTCACTGTCAGCGAGTTCACGTCCTGTTTGGCAGCAATGCTATCCGAGTCAATGCATACATATATCTCTAAAAGAAGCCGCACTTCGCAGAGTACATCTGCTGCTACCTMGATGGCTGCCACTGTTGTTTGAAAGACACACAAAGTGGAGAGAAAAAGAGCTCCAGACAGCAGACTTCCGCTTCAACATTTTACTTGAGCTTTAAGCTTTTGTACCACTTAAGTAAAGAGAATGAAAGTGACTCCCTTCTCCATACTTGGTCATATAGATTACACATACGATGGTTTGCTAAAACTCAGTTGGAGATAGACTCACTTTTCGTTTTTGAAACAAGTTGTTGAAACTCAAAATGAAATATGTTCATACACATATACTCATATATGTATATAATATTTGCGATTCTTTCAACTTTCGCTTCCGCCCTGCTCGCCATGCCAAAAGTAGCAGTATATAAACATTTGCGAAGCTGACAGCAACTATTTTGCCACTACTAATTGCCATTTACCGGCTGCAGACTTGCCTGAGCACTGCATTTCGTCTGTCCAGCTGACTACGCGGGCACAAATTAAACACGTCTTCATAGCTGTCTATTAAGACAGCAGCGCCGCAGCAACAGTTGACGGCGAAACAGATGGCAACTCAGTCACAAGTCAACCGCATATTAACTTTGGCTAACTTGGCTCCTTTTCAAGTTTAATTAGACAACATTAAAGTGGAAAAGCAACTATTTCGTTTTCAGCTATTTGTCGGGAAATATTTCATGTCAAAGCAAGTGCTGAGAGCGAGGGGATGTGTGAGCTGTCATATATAATATGTGTATGTGAATTTTTAGTCAAGGTTTACAAATAATGGCTGGGAGATGCTGTTGGACTCCAAATATACCCTCCACGCAGCGCTCAGTCAAACTTCAAAGGTGACAAATTGCACGCTAAATCATGAAGAGCAGAGTTCTCTACACAAGCAGATGGAGTGTCGTGCTTTTGATCACAAAAAGGCGGTCGGAGAGCTGACAAAGCATGAGGATTACAGTCAACATAAATTAATCGAATTCAAACAGAGCATGGATAGGGTTTATGGCAAAAGCGTAAGTAATGGAATCGGGAACAAAATTCAAATCGATGCTAACGGTACACTAGCTCTCTGAGTGTTTTTTGCAATTGCGGCGCTACAGAGACAAATGCTGGCAATTATTCATAGCGCCGGTGGAAGGTACTAAGCATGGCTGCTGTAGTTGGGGTGCTGGATATGGGAAGAATACCACGGAGAGTAGAAAAGAGAGTTAGAGGAAAAAGTGTTTAAGACCAAAAAAATTAAATTTACTGAAAATTTCTAAGTTTTCACATTTTAATTTTATAATTTGAGTGAGCGCCTAAAGGTACGCTTTTGAAAAAAAATAAGTCTTTTTAACATTGATGAGAGTGCGGCACACTAAACTTTAAAAGGCCGAGTGTAAAAACGTATTACAAAGTGATTAAGTAATTGATTAATTAGTTGCTCTGTTATCTTGACCATTTTATCTTTCTGCCAAGGATACTCATAGATTATTTTCAAGGACTTCACTTACACTCCATTACTTCTGCGTTTTTCTAAATGCATACTGATACTGTCTGATCTAAATACTAAAGCTTTAAATAACTACCAGCTACACAAAATCCTCTATTTTTTACCTGTCTACCTCCAGCAAAAGAAAAAGTTGGGTTAGCTACTCAAATACTTTGGCATACTTAGCCGTGTGTGAGTGTTGAGCACATCAACAAGAAGGATAAACTCACTGAAAGTGACAAATTTGTGGGTTTCGCAAACAGACCGGCATGCAATTTGCCATTTATGACAGCATACATTTCGGCGCACACACCGCCACCGGCAGCTGCAGTGGCTTGAAAGTCGGGTTAATGCGCGCGTGGGTACGGCGAATGGGCAAATTTGTCGAAAAAATCTCAATACCTGCACCGGTTAGAGACGCGGTGCGGGCGAGTGCGAATCGAAAAGCTGTCAGCGTGATGAATTCGGGTGCTCAGATGCTATCGAAGGTGAGTGGCAGATATGTGCGCGCCCGAATGTACGCTGCTTTTAAGTAAAATGTGTGATGTCAAAGTGGCAAATGTCTGGAACTTTTTTGCAAGCATAAAAAAACTAGAAAGTAACGTTTCTGCAGGCGAAAGATGGAGTCACATACACGCACAAGTAGTAGATTGTGATTTTGTAGTTTTGAAGTATATTTATGGGCGCCGAACAGCAGCTCACTGCATATGAAGTTGATGTATGCAAATTCCGCACACCTACGCACACACCGCACACACCCACACAAACGTGACACCATTATAAGCTCTTGGGTACACATGTGAAGATTATAGCCGCAATTTGTTTGCGTTTCTATTCTTTCGCTTGGAAGGTGCTTTCACATCATGTTTTCCTTTTGCATTATTTTTGTTTTGATTCGGTGCATGGCTATAGCTATGGCTTAGCTCTTAGTGTGTTTGTGGTCCCAGCAGCCTCGCAGCTGACAATGACAAATCGAAAGGTATAAATCCTAACGGGTTCTGCGGAAGCTGCCGCAACTACTTTGCTATACTCTTTATCCTTTTTGATTTTTATGTACTTTTGTGCGTGTGTTGGTTTTTGCTGGAAATTTATTTGCTGTAGTCGGAACTATCACTGCGTTCGGAGAATTGCATTGGCAAAATATTTATGATTATACTTTGTGCGCAATATTTGCTGGCAAACAGGTAAGCCAAGTTGTTTTGCGCCGCAAATAAATCAAACAAGAAAGCTCCCTAGCATTTCTTTGCACAGGAATTTAGAAGAATCGTATTTATTGCGAATACCGTTGCGTGGCATGCGTTCGCTCAAAGAGATTGTTCTAGTTTTCTTTTTTTCTTTTTTTGGTGCAATATCGGTACTTTTTAAATAGGCATTTTAGTTTGATCCTAAGAGTAATTGAAAATGAGCTCATACAGCTCTATGATGAGAGAAAAATAAGTTGGGTTGAATGCTTTTAAACGGTAGTATCAATATGCCAAAGAGAGTTATCATTCAGGTACCGATAAAGGCTGCAGAATACATCAAAAAAATATATATATCAGAAATAATTTTCCTATGTTTCTTGCGGGACTTCCATGTAACCAATATAATGCCATTCACTCTATCCTGTAAGCTTGTATGGTCGCTCAGATGCCAAGCGATGTAAGTCCAGGAACGTAACATTTTCAATAGCTTTCATACATAAGTGTCTTCTATAATGTTCTTTACTCTAGAAAACCGAAAGTTAAAAAAATAAGCTTTTAGTGAGCTTTCACGCAAAAAATTATGTATATTAACATTTCAAAGGCTTTAATTCTTTATAATACTCCTCTCAGTGTCTTTTCTTTGTATCTGATAATATAAAATAAAAGTTCTTTTTCGGTGTATTTTCGAATCAAATAGAGCTTATAATGAGCTTTCATTTTTTAAAGTTTTCTTTTCAGTTTTAGTTTTATTAGTTTTTGTTTTATTAGTTTTATCTGATGATATTGTTAACATAGTATATCAGTTTAGGAGATTGACGAGGAAAACGTTGTGTTAGTTGATTCATCAAGTTAACAAAAAAATTATGATTCATGCGAGCTTTCCCGCGAAAACTGATTTAAAAAGCTTTTATATAAAAGGTACTTATGTGAACTTATGTTCATTACTTTGTTATATTTTCAATTTAAATAGAGATTTTCAAAAGCTTTAAAATATTAAAATACCTTTTTTAAGTTTTTGTCTTTATATCTGATAATATTTCCTACTTAGGACATCACATTAGGACTTTGACATGGAAACCGTTATGTCAGTTGCATCAGGAGTTCATTAATCACTAAAAGTTCTTGGGAGTTTTCACGCAAAAAGTAAACTACTCTGGCTTTTAAAAAACTTTCGTGTAAACAATTACTTCCGCCAAATTATTTTCATGACTTCGTTGTATTTTCTATTTAATTAGAGCTTTTCTTGAGCTTTTACATAGCAAAGTATCCTTTTCAAGTTCTTTTCCTTGTATCTGATAATATTTCGTACTTAGTACATCGAATTAGGAGTTTGACATGGAATATGTTATATTAGTTGCACCAGAAGTTCAAAATCAACTAAAGATTTTTGCGAGCTTTCACGCGAAAAGTTATCGACGTTGGCTTTTAAAAAGCTTTCATACAAAGAAATACTTTTGCAAATTATTTTCATTGCTTCATTGTATTTTCTAGCTAAATAAAGCTTTTCTTGGGCTTTCACATTTTCAAATACCCTTTTCAAGCTTTTTTGCTTTATATCTGATGACTACTCCAACTAATACATAATTTTACGACATTCACACGGAAAAGTACATTTATTACATTATGTTCATTGCAGCAGTTATCATTTCTAAAGCCTTTAAAAAGCTTTCACAGATAACGATAGTTTTGGTAGATTCTTTTTATTGTATAAGATATATACTATACAGATTTATACTGAATAATCCATTCCTTTTTATTCCAAAAAACACTTTTTGAAGTTATTCTTAATGCGTTTGTTTACCGTTTAATAAATTTAACTTTTTCTTGAGTTTCGTAAATAATATTTAGTAAATTTTGTATACTTATTGGAATATGTTTTCGTACTCACCTAAATTAACATATATAATATCCTCTGGTGTAACACTAAAACGTGGCGGTGCATGTACGTCTAAATGGAACCATGTACCGTTCTTATGCTGCTTGGGATCACGATTTAAAAATACCACTTTACACTCATACCAGCCTTGATCCGACTCCTTGATGTTGGTCAAATTGAGTGAGGCCGAACCGAACGGTGAGTCCTGTGAGACGCGTGACACACGGCCCTTGTAGCCCTCTTCGATGTGCTCCGGATAGCTTTCATACCATATATAGATGGGCAAATCGGAACCCTGCTAGCGGCAGCGTTTGATTTTTTGCGATTTTCATTTTTGATTTTTCGTTTTGAAACACAAAAATTAGTATTTGTAGGAAAGTTCCATTTGAAGAAAAAGAAATGTGAAATAGTTTGGATGAAATTAGTACGACTTGTAGTGTTTATGTGTGCATAGACATGTAAGAAATGATAAAATAATGGCAATTGAAGTATGTCGATGTCAAACAATTACGAAATTACAAAACTAAAGAGTTGACACAAAATCAATGTTTACGAACAAAAGTAGATATTTATGTACATATGTTTCATTAGCTAAATAGTGAGCTACAAGCGAGTCTGTTGCATGATACTGGCGCAAACAGATAATTCTTGCTTAAGTGCTAGCAGAAAGTAGTTCATAACTATATAAAATATATTAATATTGTATATGCGTAAATATATATGTAGAGGTATTTTTACTAGTTTAGTGCACATAACTATATCTACAAAAACATAAACATTTGTAAGTGAAAGTATTCTAGCACAATTTGGTTGCATAAACTAAATTCAATTAGAAAAATTTTGTAAAATACATTCTTGCAATTAATTTTTGTACAAGTACGCATGCAAGCCATATAAGTTGTTGCTTATTTCAGTAATGCAAGAATATGCGCACAAAATCCACTCATAATTGCAGGTCCCAATGCCACTTTTAATACACGCAAGTAACAAAAAAAAAAATATATATATATTCAAAATTCCATTATTTCTGCTAAATTTTTAATTTGCTTTAGCAGGCACATACAATAAAAACAGTTATTTCGTGCAAGCGCAAGTTTATGCAAGGTTTTTGTTGCCTACTTCGAGGCGCCAGAGCATGCAAATTATTAACTATGCACGGCGCAATGCCAGAGCCAATGCTTGCGCACCAAAAATTATAATTCAGCGCAAATTTTGTTTTTCTGAACGTTTTCCACACACACGCACACGTTTATTTGTGTGTGTGTAAATGCATATTTGTATATGTGAGTGCTAACTTATGCATGCGCACATACAATTTAATAGTAAAACTGCAATAATTGCCTGAAAAGGCGCAATAAACTCGATTGAGTACATGCAAAAATGCATATATTGAATGCTTTTTGTATGTATTTGCGTGCAGTGCAAGCGCTCAATAGCACGCACGCATACATATTAATTGGTCAAAACGGTCACTTATTACGCGCTCAATACAAAAGTAAGTATATGTATGCTTGTAAATATGTATGTGGCATGATTCGTTGATTTCTTGGTTCGCTCGCTCGCACATTTTAATATAAATAAATAGTTTTTCTTCGCTTTTGTGGTGGTGGCTTCCATCAAGTTGACCAACGTGTGGTTTATTAATTCGATTAAGCTAACAAAAAAGCTCTAAGTTTTTTGGCATCAAGCATGGCAAGTGGGAAAACAACAGCTACAATCGAATATAATGGCCCGATCAGCATTTTACTGTCTTTTCTATATATAACTCTACATTGAATCAGTTTTTTGAGCTGATCGAAAATCGAACTTTGACAAGCCAAAAATTACCAAAATTTGGGCTAAAATTCAACTTTTTTTTTCAAGGGATTACATGCTTACATTTTTTATTACCTTATTAAACTTTACAATTGTCCTATATTTCAATCATTCATTTGTGTATCGRAGATACAGCCCTGAAAACTTGTGCGTTTGAGGTTAGCTAGGCTAAGTGCACCGTATTTAAATGGTTTTTGTTTTGAAAGTGAGTTTCTGACTACTAAACCGATCTTTATGAAGTTTTACATGGTTTTTGAGATAAAATTCTTAAGTACTTGGACGAAGAAATTTTTTTTCGATCACAAATACTTGGAAAAAAAATTTCGGGAAATTTTCATCATTTTTTTTTGTGTAAAAATGTCTGCAAAAACTCCATCTTTTAGCTAATTTTTTCCCTTCTTCCAAGTTCTAAGTTAAGGTTTTAACTAACGAGAAGTCAAATTTTTTTTTCCAAAAATTCCAAAAATTTCCGAATTTCTTTGTTAACAATAAAAATTGTTAACTATATTTTTCGTTTTTTATATGAGAAAAATTTTTGAAAAAAGGCTGTTTTTTACCCGAAGAAGTCTCCGTAACTCCTTAAACACCGCCATTTGCTAATTTTTTTATCTTTATTCACGGAGAAGACGGAATCATGCAGCGGTGGACATTTGCTTACGCAAATAAGTTTCGCAAAAAACTAATACTCTATCTAAATGATAATATTACTCTATTCAATACTACTAAAGTATAAACGTGTTTTTAATAAACTTATCTTGGCCACTCTGGAGTAAATTACCGCCCAGCTTTAGAAAGTATGTATTAAGAATTTTGCTCCGTAAGTCGTTTATTCCTACGGAAGTCCAGGCTCACATCTGCCGTCCTTCTAGAGAGGTTAGAACTTAGTATATTACATCTATGCTAATTTCTGGTGGCAGCTAAGCATTGCCTCAGAATTTTTACTCCAGTTATAGTAGAGGTTATGTCATAGTAGCAGTAATGTAAATTTTTTTTTTCATGTTTCACTTTCAACCCTTTCATTACAGTCTGTTTGTCAGGTTTGATTTGAGAAGTTATTTCCTAAGATATTGCTAATAATCAATCTATTCAGCACTGCTGCTGCACTTATTTTCTCTCCTGTTTTCAATTACAAATTACATTTAAAAAAAAATACATAAATTCTATCAAAACCCATTTTATATATATAGATAGATATTTTCCACCTCCATTGACGCTCATAGTATATAATTTTAAATATTGCCTCAAATATCACATTTACCGGGTAACAACTGCTAAAAATTTATTAAGTTTTTTTTAATCATAGCGAATGTGGAGTCGATGACAAATGTTGCAGATTGAAAGTCCAACGGAGAAAGTGAAATAATAATTCCTTTAACTGGAATACGCATAAGCAGTGACTGTGTTATACATTTTATACTATTATTCATATAACAAACTATTCAATACAGTGAGAATTTTACTTAAGAATAAAAGAGAAAACACTTTTGTCGGTATAAGCATTCAAGAGATTGCACTTGATGTTTAATTTTGAATATGTTCATGCAAATAAATTTCATTGGAAAAAATAAAAAATKTATGGCTGCTTTCTCAATATCTGAYTACCAGCATTTCTGTCCAGCTAATAGAGTTGTCSGCTTAATAGATTGTACTTAATAAAACTCAACAAATTGTGGGTGRTTAATGGAGATGTTCGCTTAATAGAGCATTCATTTAATAGAGCTTTCACTGTAGTTTTTATTAATGRATTGTTTTTACTACCCTATCTTCTAAGCTGGYTCGAACTGGACACACTGTGCTAAATTTTGCTAAAATCGGTTCAGYAGTTTAGGAGTCCATCGCGAACAAATAGTATATTTAATAATATAATAGTGCATTTAAGTTACTAGAAGTCAACCAAACTAACTATGAGCCTAAACTGTGAACCTAGGCTTAATTACTCATTAGGCGAGCTTTTTTTATTCGAAATCTTAGTAGTAAGTATATTACCAAGTCTACTGTCAAATTTTCTCACTTTTATTGTGATGAAATTCGATTAGTATGCATTTAACGACGACGTTAAAGCGACAATGAAAATTCAAACTTAGAGTTTAAACAAAACTCAAAAATGGCAAAGGTAGTAGGCGGGTAGTCAATTTGTGATCTCCAAAAAAAAAATTTTTATTAGTGAGTTCTAAATTGATACTTTTAAAGAACGTTCATATCACTTGTATTTGCGGCTATGCTGGAAAGATCTTAGTATATTTGACTGAAAGTTAAAGYTGCYTTTTTRTATAAACARAAACTTCTCTCTACTCATTCTTATRCCTTTARACATTGTTTTTATGATATTTTTACAATTTTAATTTAATTTGAAAATTAGTTTTTTACCCACAGACCGACAGTTACTTAAGCGCTTTCATGCAATCCCATTAAAATTTTCGTTTAAGCTGCTACTTAAAACTTCGAGTCCTTTGCTTAACACCCGCGCTTCTGACTGCTGGCAAGCGACGATATTTTTTTTTTTTTTTTTTGCTCATTCTCGACACTTAATTTGTACATTAGCTTGACAGCAGTGAGGGCCAAAGTTTGCCTTGATAAATGTGTCAGAAAGTAGCGAGACACATGCATACAGCGAGAGAGAGAACGACCTGCAGCAAGCGCAAAGTATCGCCAAAGTAACTCCAGCATATTTTGCGTTTATTACGTTCTGTCTGCTTTTGCATACTTTCACGTGTCATATGTGGCTAGCGGTAACTTGCTGCCAGATTAAAACTGATTGCATGCTTGTGAATAATTTTGAGAATCAACTCAAGTAAGCGGGTGCGAGGTGCCGCAAGCGGCTGGCAGTTTGACAGTGCAGCAGTTTACTTTAGAAATTTGAGAGAATTAAACATGCTTACGCTGCCTTGCTTAGAATTTAATTTTCGCTTTGACGTAACTGTTATCAGTATTTCATACATTTTGTTTTAAGCATGGCATTCTGGGCGGACACGAGTACTATTGTGGCAGCGGTGTGAGCTCATTGTCGCCGTAGCTCACCATAAATAACTTACAAGGATAAGTCCGCTTAAAGCCTTTAATTTTGGTCAAATAATTGCGCTCACATGCGCCGCCAGCAAGTGTGTCAATTGCATGGTGTGGCGCGCACGCCGCGGTGCACCATGTCGTATACGCGATGTGTTTGGCTCGCTCTGACCGTTTATTGTGGCGCTGGTCGCCTGCTTGCTCGCAAGCAATGCTCGGCATGCGGTCTGTGGTATTTTCGGCTTTTATGCGCTTACATTCGCAATATTTTTTTTTTTTCACCGCTAGTGTGCGTGTGTGTCTGTGTGTTTGGGGTTGTGTGAAGTAGAGATAACATGTGTAAAATTTGCAAGCGCCATGATTATTATGCTTGCCATAGCTGCTGTCCAAACGATTACGATAATTTAAATAGTTTTTTGCGCTATAAATGCGATTTTGCGGTGCGGCTGTTTATACACGAGCGTAAGGCGGCGCTAT